TGAAGCTGCATTCAGAGACCCCTCAGCACACTCAGCAGTGACAGATCTGTTTTCTTTTTATCTGCTCAACTAAGTTTTCCACTCTGTAGTCACTAGGACTTCTGAGCCTACCTGGCACCTGAAGGCTGTACAGTATCACCAATCTTCACAGAACCTCACTGGAAACATTCCTGCTGCTTGTTAGCACAGAGCAGCCCACAGAGTCCATGTCAGCAGTGACATGGGCCACGACAACACACCCTCTGCAGTGCTGACCTGGCTGTGTGGGGGAGGGCAGGGAAACCTCTGGGTCCTATCCATGGAGATTAAGACTTTGCAGCTGTCACAGAACAGTCAATACACCTCTCTTTCCAGTTCATACAGAATATGTAATGAGTGTGCAAAAAAAAAGTCTAGTGGCTGGAGAAATTAAGTCCTCAAAGTCCAAGACACTGTGAGAACAATTCAGTAAAACACCTAAGATACACAGCTATGATCACAATTCACATTAATGGTTGTTGATAAGAAATTAAATATCAAATGTCCTTGAGTCTTGGCCCAATAGTTCTATTTGGAACTTTAAAAAATCTCAGGTGTGTGTTTTCTTGTTTGAAAAGCAGCATTCTGACTAGTTTATTAATACAGAATTAATTGGCTAAGCAGTAACAAATGTCTATATTCAAATCAGAAAAAAAATGTTATTAGCATTAAAATCTACTGTATATTACTAAACTACTGAAGCCAGTGAAAAATTCAGCAATCACAACTGAAAATCTTGAAGAAAGGTGTCAGTGTAACTTTAGCATGTGTGTGTTGAGTCCCTAACCTCAAGGAGCACTTCCCTGGTGCTGATTTTGCCTTACCCATAACTGACTTCCAGCAGGGAATCATTACTTGCATGTACTTCCATCCCTGCCAATCCCATTCAATCTGGGACAAACTTAGGTAAAATGGCAACTAGTTCCTGAACCGCATCTCCATTCATTTCCATTTCCATTCATCTTAAGGTGATACCTTCCCAAATAATGTGATTTACTAAATGATAACTGACATACTTACTGTTTTTCTGAACAACTCTAATTCAATTTCTGTATAGTCAGATGCCATTTTTGTTATTTCAGTTTCTGCCAAATTCACCTAAAAAAAGAAATAAACTGAAATCAAAGTGCCATTGTAGTTTTACACCAGAAACTGTAAAAGGTCCTCTGAGGTAAAGAATACATCAACTTACAATTAACAGAAATGTCATTTCTTTAAGGGGCATGAAAGAGACTGATCCTTGAAGTGCACTGGATGGTACTCCAGTCCTTTATTTACAAGCCTTGATCTTCCAGCCACATGTTCTCCAGAGCTGCCTCTGCCCAGGCCAAGCCCTTCAACAACCCAAACCCCCCAAAGTAACACAGAGGCTGCAGCAGAGCTGACATGTCAAACCAGGCACAGTGCTGGACAGCAGCACGAACTATGTTATCAGTCACCTTTTTTTCCACTCTGAAAAACAATAGCTGATCTGGAGAAACTTCTTACAGGCCACTCCTCAGCAACCCCTTTGTGCTAGGTTGATTTTTGAGTAGGAGAAAAAGAAAACTAATGTTGGAGGGCTCTGTTTTCTAGCTTAAAAATCTCTCTCAAGAAATAATGTCTCCTGTGGAAAAGGAATCTCACTTCAGCACTTAAGCAACGTTTATGTTAAATAACTCCAACACTGCTGTGGTCCTTGCTGCCATGTCCTATCCCACAAACCAGGGCTGTGGCAATTTATCCTCCCCCTTCCCTGTCCTGCCAGCAGTTCCTGCAGCTGCTGCTGGCCCCACACAAACACAGCACCTACACAAACACAGCTGGCCCCACACAAACACAGCAGGTACCTACTACAGCATAATGTGCTCTCCCATCCTCTTCTGACATTCCTTTCCGGACCTGCATAAACAAAGGCTGCAGGTGCCTGTTAATAGTGCTGATGAAATCGTCCAGTTTATCGTGTGCGTAGTAAACTGAAAATAAATAAGAAAAAGCACATACAGAGAAAAGTCAAACAACTACACACCAGGCAGATTTTTTCTGTGAAACGTTTTTTCCCAGGTAAAAGCACTAAAACTCCATGAGGTAAATTCAAACAGGGCTGTTCTATTCAGCAGATGTATCATTTTCTTGTGCTGCTGTCTCCTGGCCTTCAGAGACGCTCAGCTCCTTGGAAGTCAGTTGAGAGAGAGTTCAGACATTCTGCCTTGCTGTAGGGAACCCACAACACTAATCCAATAATTACAGTGACTTGAACTAAGCTGAATTTAAAATAAAACACAACTAGGAAAAATTACTATTCGGAATAGAAAAATACACTGGCTTGCTTCCCTTTACGCGCACGTGATTCCTTGTTTCTGTGCGTTCTGTTTCACAAATTAATGGCAGGTAAGTGATCAAGTTACATATCAAAAAAAATTCTAGTATTGTAGAAACATGGGTAGTATCTCGTGTCGTGTTCTACAAACAAATTAAATACTAGCAGCAGTTCTATCACAGACATAATCAAGATGGCCTTTGGAGTTGTTCCGTGGAGGTGCATGCGATGGCTCTTGCCTGCACAGCACCACCACAACTCTCAGGTCCATCCAAAACAAGATTTTGTCAGTGGCAGAACTCCTGTTGCCTTCATCAGGCTAGGGTTTAAAGACCAGGGTTAAGAAACAGCTCGTAACTTTAGATTCATGTCTCAAAAATACAACCAGTTGTCACTAAATTATCCCTGTTCTCAGTCACAGGAGTCACTTGCGTGTAACAGCATCGGGCAGGAACAATAATAAAGTACAATATTTAAATATAATTTTGCCACCTGGCTGGCCCCTGTCAACAGGAAACACTGCACACAGCACAATCAGGGAGTGTTAGTAACAGATCTGAAAGCGGGTAAAAGATGAAAGATAACAGAATATTCTTTTGTTCAACAGCTCGAATATTTTAATGTGAGATAAGTGGCTGCTCCACTACATCTTCAGTGAAAAAAAGGGATATAAACTCTCGATAAAAAATGAACAGGAGTCAGACAACACCAAAAGCTGCACTTCGCAATTTTAGCGTCTAAGAAGGTGGCCAAGTTACAGTTCCTGGCTCAGGAGGCCTAAAAATAGACTACTTCATCCTGACCTAACGCCTATGGATAAGTAGATACAAATCCACAGTAAACCAGAAGAGTCCCTGCAGAGTGGGTAGCACGGTGACAAGACACAGGGACACTCCTAAGCCTGGCAGAAGTACAGCTTCCAGGACTAGGAACGGGCAATAGAAATAACTGAAGTGCATTTACTTAAAAGCATTCACTATAGTTAAGTACTATCAGCATCAAAAATTATTTTTTAAAACTCATATGTATAATCTATAAAAAACAATTCTGATAAAAAACCGTGGTATATATGAATCTGATCTGATTAGAAGTTAGTTTACTCTCTACTGTGTTACTTTATCTTTCAGGAAAGAGAGAGGACACACACATCATTACAATTTTTTAACTTTTTTTAGTTGGTGTGTGTCTTTCAGAAATCCAATTATTTGTAAACTGCACCAGGAGAAAAAAAACACTTCTTCCATCTCCAAGACAAACACACCTTTATCAGTTTCACAGCAGTGGTGGTGTAATTTCCTGGCCTCTGATCCTTCTGTTATCCCCTTAGACATCAGAACCTGCAAGAACCGCCGATGAGCATCAGTCATCTGAGCCGCCATCGCAGTGTCCCACCAGGCTTCACGTGCTGCAGGAGGTGTAAGATGGAATTAATGCACATGTTCATACAAATTAAGAATACACAGTCCAAGCATATATAAGATTTCAATTAAACTCTCTTACACTGAATGAGGGCAAAAGAGCAGATCCCCAGATCGTCCTCAGAATGCAGATGGTGACCAGCTCTGAGGTTCTGGAAGGCTGCAAAAGATTAAGTCCAACTTAATCTTTTAGCTACAGAATAGAACAAGGTAGGCATTGTGCTACTGTCACCAAAAAACAGGAATCAAGCTCCTTAACACCATGGTAGCACTAAGCAGCAGGCACTGCTTTATTGCAGCGCTGGACGCACCGGGCAGTGACTCCTGCCTGAGGTGCACGCTTGGCTCAACATGATACAATATTGAGTCTGTGTAGTCTCACAGGGTCTTCTAGTTGGGTCTTTGGGCACCTGGTGGTCGTTGAGCCTCTGAACTTTGATCTTCTAAATATGGTGCTGTTTTCGTGGAAGCTGCACAGTTTGCTACCGAACAAACTGGATTGGGCCAGTTTGACTTGTTACAAATGTGGTTACAGAGCTCCCAACGTTCCACTCACCGCTACCTCCTCGTCACCCGCTTATAAACTCTCATACCCCCAAAGCTGAAAATAAATGTTGTGTGACAAACTCAACACCGTGCGCGGTTCCGTGTGGGATGTGTCCTGTGTGGGATGTATCGTGTGTGGGGTGCGGTTCCGTGTGGGATGTGGTTCTGTGTCGGCCGCTCCTGCTCCCCACACAGCCTGGTTAGAGCAAAGTCGATCAGGTGACTTCGAACAGCAAATCCTCCTCTCACGTCCCGAAGAACCCCAGAACCAACGAAAGGCAGCTCAGGAAATTCCCTGACCACTGCACCGACCGCCTCTGGCCGAGCGCCGGCCCCGCCGTTTCGCCGCCCGCTCGGCCCCGGGTCCGCCACAGCCCACGGAGGCAACGGCCCGAGAGACCGCCCGCCCCAGAGACCGCCCGCCCCAGAGACCGCCCGCCCCAGAGACCGCCCGCCACCCTCGGCCCCGCCGGGACCCGCCGGGACCCGCCGGGACCCGCCGAGGAACCACCTCCCCCTGCCGCTCCCCCGCACCTGCCCCTGCTCGACAGCTCGGCGATCTCTGCGTGCGCCTGCCATCGATGGCCCCGCCCCGATCAGTCCCCGCCCCCTCCCTTGCCGGCCCCTCCCTTTCCGGCCTCGCCCCCGATCATGCCCGTCCCTGGTCGGGCCCCGCCCCGGGCGCGCCTCGCGGGGGCGGTTCGGGCCGTGCCGGGGCCGGGGCAGCGCCGGGTGCGGGGCCGGGATCGCCCCGGGCTGGAGCGGGGCCTGGCGCGGGGGCCGGAGAGGGCAAGGTACGTCTGGCGGCCGGACCGGCTCCTTCTCGTTATCTGCGTCTGGCGCGCCCTTTGTGTGGTCTGTGTTTTCCTCCGCGCAGGGGCTGGGAAGGAAAGGCGAGCTCTCCGTGCTCCCCCGGAGCTCCGCAGGGTCCCTTGGTCGGGAGGGGGTCCCGGGGCCCCTCCCGGGTGGGCAGCTCCGTTCCAAGCCCACGGGCAGGTGCGCTTCTCCTTCCTCGATGCTGTTTAACTCGGGCGCTCCTTTTGCAATGCTCTGGCCAGAACTGGTGTCACTCCCCGAAATGCCCTTCCCGCCGGACGTGCTGCGGGACAGCCCCGCCCGCCCCGGGCTGCGCTCCCGGCCGTGCCCGGCCCCGCAGAGCTCCGGGCATTGCGGGCCGGACGGGGGTTCTTTTCAAGTATTGATACAGAATCTATTGGTGAACCTTCTGCTTTGCCATGTATCGCTTGTCTCGTTTTAGTCTGCTGTTACAGCCAGTGCTTTAAACTAAAAGAGTAAGACTTCTGTTTTAAAAAGAGACAGTTTTAAAAAGCTATACATTTGCAGCACAGCAACGGTGCATTGAGCAGCCTCGCGTATAATATCTGACTTCTGTGGTTTGGACAGGAGTTACTCATTGAGCATAACAGTTTTGCAGATTATGCCTGTTAATGAAATGTGACCCTAATTTCCTTAGAAGACCAGAAGTTAGTACTGTTTTTTTTGATAGTAAATGAAATCATTTTAATCAGATCGTATTTTTTTCAAGAAACAGAAACGATAAAGTGATTAAAGCATGTAACTTGTGCCAGTAATCACGCAGACCTGCTTCTAGCCCCGACAGAGATTTCTTTCCTAGTTTTGGGGAAGTCACCTATGTCTTTACAGCTTACTTTCCTTACATATATCGGGTTTATTAGGTTTACTACAATTTTAGTAGGCTTTATATGTATTACATACTTTTTTTAAGATTGGTATTTCATATATATATAATGAAAAACCCAGAATGTAACAGGCAGAAAAACTATGGACATTTTAAAATTTTCTCCCTTTGCAGTTTCATTGGAGCTCTAATTTTCATCCCCGTGTGCGGATCTGTTTGCCCATGGGGAGATGGTTTTGCTCTGCCATCTGTTCATTCGGACGTGCTTACGTGGTCCAGGATTTTCTGCCAAAGTTTTAAGAGTTCCTTGGAACTCTGTCATGCTACAGGATTGCTTAACAGTGGAAAACAAATGCTTCCTCTCTTGAGAACTCCAGGAAAAAGGAAAAAGAAGGATTTTTTTATGCTGGAGCCGTATTTTTTTTCCTGAGCAGCAGCAAAGGCGCCTGTATTCTTTTCAAAAAATTTATTACTATGCTCAGTCACATTTCATCTGTTCCCAGAATGTGAAGAACTCAGCTCTTGAATAATAGTCTTCTCAAGCATTTATAAGAAATTTATCTTTCTGGTATGTCTTTTATTGCTAGATGACTAGTAACTGCCCGAGAGAATGTCACGGAAGAGGTTTCCATTCTGATCTTCTGTTTTCACTAACAATGTCCTTATCCGTTACTTCTAAGATGGAAATTTTCTACGTTAACTCTTAGAAGCTAGTTTTAGAGAGTGGTCAGTCATGCATGTGGGAATGGGAGAAATCATGACTGGGCTTCACGAACGAAGATTTGGGAAGGGCTCTACCCGCATTTGCTACAACCGCGCTGGTGGCTAAAGAGGCCAATGCGAGATAGACAAGTCCGGTTGCAAAAGGTACAGCAGAAAGACTCCTTGGACAGTATTGGCAAGACACGATTCTTTCTGTGTTGTCTTTTCTCCTCAAGGGTGATCCTGCTGCGTTCTCAAAAGCATCAGCAGCGTTATAGATGGTGTGTCTCCAGGCCTCCCGATTGGAGGCCAGAGTAGACCAATGATGAAGATCAATATGGCCAAGGCTGAAGTGTTGTTTCAGGGAGTCCTTGTATCTGCCCACATGTGTCCTGACAGAAGGTCGCTATGTTCTCCCTATGCTAATAGCTAACGATTTTATACGGCAGCAGAGTTTCTGATCCCTCACCAGTTTCTCTCCTCTTGTGTGCTGGTGGGACTTGCCTTTTCAGAAGGGGTGGTTCTGTGGCTGGGGCAGAGGGTGTCCAACCGCCTCCACAAATACCTTCCAGTGATCTGTGCTACTTCAGAATCTGACAAAGCTTCTGTAGAACGTCCAACACGTCTCTCCTGCTGACAGAGATCTGAGGAATTCTCTCCTCTTTACTCTGTCACACCGAGAGAATCATGATGCTCTGAAATAAACACTAATGTGCCACCTGGGAACTTTACAGGTGTAAACAGAGCAGCTGTAGCTCGCTGGCAGCAAGAACACTGTGTCCTGATGTGGAGTTTAGAAAATTCTAAGAGCATGAGAGGAAGGGACCAAAAAGTTGTGTGTTAACAATGTGCTGCTGAACAAATTTTATCCCTCTTTATACAGAATGCAAAGCCAAAAGCATATTAGTTAGCATGACTTCACCTACAAATATACCAAAATTTTAAATGCCTCATGTCCATTTGTAGTGATATGAGAGCTGGTAGCCATATTTTATGCAGAATACGGACTTCCACTAAGTGGCTGCGTTGCATCAGCAAAGAAATCTTGGGGAGACATGCTTTTTTTTTAAGTCTGAAGTTAATTATTTCACCCGTTTTCAGTTTACCTGAATAAATGGCTTTGCTATGCTTACGGAATTCTAATAAGTAAAAGCTGCATAATTTTCCTTCTCCCAAGTTTAGCTGGTTATACCATGATTGGGTATGTGCTTTATAACATCTAATTATTTACCGGTTTAATGAATCTGCATTTTGTTGGAGCAATGCTCAGAGTTCTTTGCTAAAATTTTTTTCAAGAGGGTAATATCCATATTATCAACCTACAGGTGATAGGACTTGAGGAAAACATTTTAGTCAATAAACCAGACACTTCATTCTTAAATTCTTTCAGTTATCTGAGTGGAATCATAGGGCTTTGGTGACAGTGTCACTGATTTTGGTCTAGTGCTTATGCTTTTAATATCTCACATGCTAGCAGCTTTCCTTTTCTAGTAGCTGAAGAGAATAGGTCCACTGCCAATGTCAGTCTTGTATCCTCTGTCATTAAAACTTTGCAGAAAAGTCTTCTAGCTCATTTGTATTCTCCTTATTCTTCTCTGTGTCTTGTTGTTCATGAGTGCATTTTAGGTGCAGGGTGTGGGAATTAGGCACAGCAGGGAATCTGAATCCCAACATCTAGCAGAGTGGTAGGAAATGCTACATACACCCTTACCTTAACTAGCACAAGGATGTAAGTTCATAATAATGTTTGCTGTTGGCAGAACTGCATCACAGCTTTTCCTGCTGAACCTGACCAGTGTCAATGATGGCAAGACTCGTAAGTGCTGCACCATATACCCTTTGGATCTTTTTCTTTTCATATGCAACAAATGAAGGTATGTTTGTCAATATTTTAGATTATTATACTGAAGTTTTTATTGACAGCATTTTTCCATGACTAGTAGGCAATGCTATTACCACTAATTAAGTACTATAAAATTTGTAACTTTAAATGTCATAAATAGCCTTATACTAGAATAAATTCTTAGATTTTATTCTTTGCATTGAACTTTTCCATAGGGTCTAGAAAAATTAGAAATTTGCAGAAAGGAGAAACACATTTGGACAGTCATTTCCTTCTCCATTATGTGATCTGCACTGGACACCTCTGAGATGGGCTCGGTTAGAGCATGGTGCTAATAATAACGAGGCTGTGGGTTCCATCCCTGTATGGGCCATTCACTTAAGAGTTGGACTCGATCCTTTTGGGTCCCTTCCAACTCAGAATATTCTGTGAAATCTGTAATGCCTATGGGAGGCTTTTGCTGCCTGGCCTCCTTCCCCTGGTGCAGGAGGCCTGAGCTTCTCCTCTCTGGTGTGAAGCACAGGCAGGTAAAATGCTAAAGGAACACTGAAGTAACTCCTAAAGAAATTCCTACATTCTCTATGCCACCATGTAGTTGCCTGGATTTGAACAGATTTGGCAGGCCCTGGCTGTGACTTGTACCTGCTCAGGGTGGAGGAAGAACAGGATCTGGAGTGTCCCGGCTGCGCTGTTGGCCTGGCAGGAGGTGTTGAGCCCAAGTGCTGCTGGTTCCTTAAGGGTTATTTTGTCAAGTTCAACCAGCAGAGGCTGAATATAACCATGTTTTTTCCTTGCATCTTTTATGATATTTGATTATAAATACAATTTAGATATATAAAGTCATGGTTTTCAGTAATGCATTTTTATTCTCTGGAAAATGAATTGTGCATTTTGCTTGCTGTAATTTGTTTTACTAGTTCTGCAGTGTCTACAGTTTCTTAGGTCTTGTTTTGTTTTATAAAGCAAATCAAAATAGTAAAAGACAGTTTAAAATAGCCTGTCTCTAAAAAAATGAAGATTTATTAACTACTGTCTTATGTACTATGAAATAGTGCAGTTGAATTAAGGAGAAGCATGAAGGTTTGAGAGAGTGCATTGGCTGGGTTATCTGATCTGGGTAATCCCATATTTTCTATAAATGATCTTTATCAAAGTTTAATTTTACAGTGTTTTCTTTGGGTTTGTTTGCCTAGTTAGCTACATGTTTTAAGTTTCTTCAGCATGGTGTACTATTTGACGATTAGACAAGAAATTCAGTATTTCAGTTCCCTTTTTTAACAACACTAACTCAAAATAAATCCTGTACTGTACGTAGTTTCAAAAGGAAAGTCTCAAATAGCTGAGGTTTAAAAAAAAATATGGTGTACCAGAGATGGAAAAGCAAGAAGGTCACGGGAAAAGAGTAGAGAATATAATTTAGAGTTCTGAAAAGACATGAGGACACTGAAAGGCAAGATAAAGTAAAGCTGTTAATCATCGTAGCTTAACACAGCAGGAAGAACTTCATTTAATTGAAGTATTCTTGAAAGCATAAGATCATTAACACATTGAAAAATAATGTTCATCTTTAAAGGGCTTAAAATGTTAGTACTTCTGGCAAAAGTACATTTTAAAGTGGAAGAAATCTACCAATAAAATTACAAATGGCAGCAAAATATAAACAACACCAACAGGATAATGATTCTTTTAAAATAAAAAAGCAGTGTGACTGCTAAAGTGTTGCAGAAGTTTAACTTGCTGCTTTTCTGATGATTCTTGGGGGTCTTGGAAGAATCAGGGACCATGCAGAACAAAAGGGAACCTAGCATTGTACTGCCATCCAGAGAGGACATAACAGCAATAGTTCATACCTACAAGATAAATATGTTACCTTAGTAACTAAACCAAAACATTTCCTAAGTATTTGAACACTAATGAAACCATGCCTGCAGTCAGTTCTAGGTTTATAAGCAGTCAATATACCAGACAACTTAGATTATAAGTTTTACAGGTCCCATTATGTTGTGTATCATGTCCACTAAAAGGCAGCTGACCATCACATTTTACATTTTCAGATGTTGTACTGTCTCAGAGTATGCAGAAGTTGTATCAGAAAAAAATAACACAAGTGGACTACAGAAAAGTAGAAATGTAGGGGAGATAAAATTAAATTAGGTACTTTCAACAAAATTTTTTGCTTGGGAGGAATAATCTGAAACTTAGGTACCAATTAGAAAGAATAAGCACATGAAGCAGCAGTGGCTGAAGGACAAGGACCTTGCAGGATGTGAATTGTTGTCAACTGAATTATGCATTTGCAGTGTAAATGACAAGCACGGAGAGTTTCAGAAACTATCAGAAAAAATTCAATTAATAGGATTCTAAAAACCAATCAAAGCTATTTTTAATTTCTTATAGGAAACTGAGATGTAAAGTAGGAAAGTAGGATTTATATTTGCACAGCTTCTGCAAAAAAAGGGAGGTATTATTATTTACCAATAAAAGAGAAGTCAAACATCAGAAATGGCAAGTAATTGTCTGGGATGATAAAAGTATTAGCTATTTCTGACTGCTTCACTGAGAAATGATCACACTCCAGGACCAGAGTTGGCAGACTGTTAGTCCAAATAACAGCATGACCTTACTGTCACATAGCTCCTCCTCTTCTGTTCCATGTCTCACTCATATGGAGTGCATTGAAATAATAGAAAGTGGGGCTGGAAGGGATACTGAGGATTGTGTATTTTTTACTTAAATACTGACAGTGAAAGAGATTATAAGTTTGAACATGGAGAGTGCAGAGACTTTTGGCTTTCCTGTACCTCCCCCCCAGTGCCTGGCACATGGTGACTGAGTCTCTCCTGGGCTCCGAATGCTCATAACAATTGCGAGGAGA